TGAACTGATCAATTTGTTCAACAAAGCTATTAACATCTTGTCCTTCAATCATATGAAAGTTAGGCGAGGTTGAGAGCAGCATCAGACTTCGGGCTTCTCGTTGATCTCCGTAATGAGTGCCTTCTCCTTCAATAGTAGGAAACTTCAAGGCATAATGAAAAATTGACACAGCAGCACGGAGTTTATAAAGTGCGGTTCGCCCAATTACAGCATTATATTCATTTTGGACATCCAAGACTTTAAAAGTTTCCATAATAATCTTGGAATTCGGTCCAAAGCCTCCAAATCGGATGGGGAGCAATATTTCGCCAACAGGGCAAGAAATGCTTCCATTAAAACCTTGAATCTGATCGTTACACGGTCTAATGTCTGCTGGGTCCAAACCCAATTTCTTGAAAGTGCGGAGCATTAAGATACTTGAATATGCTCTTGTATCAACCAATATCCGATGAACAGGAATTCCCCCAATCGGTGCAGTTATGATAAGAGCATCGGAATGGGGATGAGCGAACAAATTGGCGTCTTCAATACTGAAGGTGATAGGGCAATTCCGTTTGTTGATGGTATCTCGGAGATCAACATTCATGACCCGTTTCTCGGCATTCTGAGCTTCCCGAGCATAAGCTTTAACTTTCCGTCGAGACATATCTGACTGTTTGTTATTGGAGTTGACCCGAGGTATACAACGTGAAAAATCTGCAGAATCATGTGTCTTAAGTTTCCTGTGGTTGTCGGCCGAAGTTCCGACATGTGTGGAGAACGTAAAAACTTCCTTATCGTTTACACGAGCTCTCTTCTGGTTAGCAGGTCGGTCATCTTCATCTTCGTCGTCTGAAAGATCCAAAGGTCTTCCTTTCCGGCGGTTATCAAAATTTCGAAACTTTTGAAGTTGGGGTTGTCCGATTAAACGTAAGAGTGCCGATAAAAGACCGAGACACTCGTCGGTATTATGCCCTGGAGACTTGTGGTACGCACAGTAGCGAGTTTTGTCCAACTTATCTTCAGGAGTTCTCACAGGCCTCGGGTCTGGAATGATCCCCTTTCCTTTCAGTTCTTCATATATGGTGGCCGCTCCAGCAGAATAAACAACATGGTAACCTGTCCTGACGTTGTCCGAATATTGATCACGAGCAGCCCGGGACTCTGGAGTATTTTCATACCCTTTAGAGGAGTTCTGAAATTGGGCTTTCCCAAAGTTTTTCTTATTCTTCTTCTTAGTATCTGATTCGGCCTTATTTTCTTTCCCTGAGAAGTCGAAATTAGGGACCGACATGGATTCCTCGGCAATAATAAACTGTTGGGCTCTTACAAGAAACTCTTGGAATGTTGCTGGCTTATTCTGGCATAGGGTCCAACGAAACATCGAGTTAGGTTTCAATCCAGCAATGGCAGTTACTAGTAAAGTTTCAGGATGACAGGGCTTCATGTTCTGAATTCGGTCGTTGAACCGGGATACATAGTCTTTAACGGTTTCGTCGTCTTTTTGTACAATATTGGTAATCGATTCTTTCGGAATGAGACAAATTTGAGCACCGATAAAATGTGATCGGAAAGCTGCACGCAACTGCTGCCATTTCCAAATTGAATGAGGTGGAAGAGTGTAATACCATTTCTGGGCTCGTGGCCCCAGTGTAAGTGAGAACATCCGACACCTCAGAGCATCTGAAGCTCCATGTAAATCCATCCAAGATGTGTAATGACCTAAATGAGCGTCTGGATCCGACGTCCCATCATACATGCCGATTTGTGGAATTTTTACTTTCACAGGGAGTGGCTCCGCAGTAAGTTCGGGGGCTAAAGGGGAATCCGCCTCAACAACAACATTTCCCGACGTCGCGACATGTCGGGGTGAATCTTCTTGGGAATTCTGTCGCATTTCAAGTTCAGCCAAACGTTTACGAAGGGTCTCAATTTCCTCCGCACTATGCCTTGAAAGACGATTTCGTTCAATTTGGCGTCGTAAATCTTCGCGAGCATGAGGGGCTGACGAGATAGGTCTAGGACGTGGCGAAACTCTCTGGTGATGAGCAGAATGACTTTCAGCGGTCATCTCTTGCATTGGGAGTTGATCTGGGACTTGATTGTTCGTTACGGGATTAGCAATTACATGAGCTGGTTCTTCTTGACGTGGAGAGGTATGATGAGGCTGGGATGTAGCATGTGACGTCGCAGCATGTGTTTCATGATCATGATGAATATGAGTGGGATGCTCTGTTGGGTTAGTAGTTAACGGCATCGTACTCGAGTTTCTAGGCATGGCTCGAGCTATTAATGAAGACAAACCCTGAATAAACTCCGGATTTTGGAGGAAGTTCGTGATATTCGTGACCGGAGGTGGTGGTGTTGTACGACGCGGGGAATGATTAGTTGATTGGCTCTGGCCAGGGTGAGTAGCATGATCTCGACCAGATTGCGACATAATGACTCTGAGTGTGAAAATGGCCTTAAAAGTGAAAACTGACTACAAAACAGGGCGAAGTTAGGTGGGCCGCCCTTCCTCTAGCGCCAAACTGTTGTCAAAATGGAAATTAACAACAACCAAATTGGAATGTATTAGAGGTAAAACTAAGTGTTCAATGATAAAGACTTGTATATGATTACTGGAGACGTAATTTTTCTGTAAGGTATTATTATTGTCCGTCCTTCCTGGGGAATTCTCCCTTTTCCTTTTATATTTACGTACAATATTTATCTGTACAATAATCATTACACTTTGAAAGGTCAAAGGCGGTCCTTAGTTGCTTCTCCTAATAGCTTGCCACTTGGATAAATGTAATGATGAGTTATGCTGAGTTGTCGCCGCCTTACCATGCTGAGGTGGCATGTTATAGATATCGGTCCACCCAGTTATAACCGATATGTTGTGACTGACATGTATTAACCGACATGTGTTAACCGACATGTGTTGACCGACATGTGTTAACCGACATGTGTTGACCGACATGTGATATCGGTCAACTAGTAAAGATGTCGGTTCTTGCTGAATCTTTCATTGTGTAGTCATCTTGAAGCTGGTGGAAGTGTCACTTGCTTGCATGAACCCTAATTACCATTATACTGATCCCAATCAGCGGATTAATGTCACTTAATCTGGCTTACTGAAAATGATATCAACAAGTTAAATGAACAATAATGGGTATGGGATGAGCATTATTGGTGTATATTGTGTCGGCAAATTTGCCTATAAAAGGCATTGCCAATGTAGTGAATATATACATAATTTGAGAAGGAAAAGAAGAAAGAAAATACTAAGTATAATTCCTATCCGCTTTCTACTTTGTGTTCTTTATCTTTCCCGTTTTCATAACAATTTCCACCTTTTATACACCTCAAGAAATAATTCGGATTATTAATTTATTATTAACATTGCACTAATGTTTTATAATATTGTATGAAAGCGGTATAAATCAATGTTTTAAATACCGATATGTATAGACCGATATTGCATATAGTATTGGATAGCAGTGGTCCGATCAGTACAGTTACCCTCTAAATACCGATTTAGCTAAAATATTGGTTTATATCAGCTGCATACCGAAAAATATCGGCCTAAATACCGGTTAAAATATTGGCTATACCGGGTCATTTCTCCAGAACAATAGCTAAAGGACCCGATACTACCACTTGGATCTGGAACCTACATGTCGATGCTCACGATTTTGATAGTCATACCGGTGATTTGGAGAAGACTCTCGAAAAGTATTTAGTGCCCATTTCGATAAACTCTCCATCATCTTTCTTTAGTTGAGCGGCATGTATTTCCACGGTGCTCGTTTTTTCAATTATGAAGCGTGGCTAAGTGATCCAATTCACAAGTGGTTTGGCCAACAGTGGGTTAAATTACTCTTGAATCTATTATAAATAAATAAAAGAACTTGTGCATCTATAATTTACATTAGGTCCTTATTTAGTTATTTAATGTTTTTTCATCAGGGATCGTGTTTTATATATTTTTATTTGGATTGTAATATGTTATTTAAATCTTTTTATGTTCCGACATCATTATGCTAAATTTGAAAAAAAAAATACATTGAAAGTTTATATGTTGTACATTTTATTTTGTTCCAGCAATCATATATTTAATAAATTAATTAACTTATACTAAATTTAATCAATCAAAAGCATTCACTACCACATGCATCGCACGTGCATTTTACTAATGTTATAAAACGGAAATTGAAAAAGGAGACAACATATCTGTAAAGAAAAAAAAAAATTATAATATTGATGATTGGTTCATGATATATAACATATGATACCCCAAAAAAA